GTAAGCAGGTACCCGCTCATTCATTTGCATGCACCACAATCTGGTGAATTCATATTCAACACTTGCTACAAACTCTGCAGTCAGACATATTTTTGTTACAGACTTGAGATATTTGTCCAGAACCGTTGTGTGGGAGTGGAGGACAAGAGAGATTTATCAGAGAGGTGTTTTTGTATTAGAACACTCTGAAATGATATCAGATTTTAAAAGACAATTAGATTTTACTTGGAAAAATTGTTTGCATGTTTTAGATTTTAGTAGGATTGGAAACATATTTTTTTTGTGCAATCTGGTATAGTTTTCATGCTTAAAATGTGTAAAAATGCTGTTCTGCACAGTCTAGTGACTCTTACTTGTTTTTGTCCGTGAGTGGCATGGACTGTGAATTCTTCCTCTTTTCCTGTTTTCACATACACACATATGGTTTATGCATTTTTCCTTTTCCAAAACATTCTAAGTGTGTGCTTATCTTGAAAAATCGAGCATACCAGCGTTATCTATAGAGGCTGTTTAGACTAACGTTCTGCTCAGGAATAGAGAGCCTGATTTAAGAAAAAACCTTTTCTAATTCTGCCCGATTCCAGATCGTTTTGTGATCCTGTTTGAATGAAACCTTAATCAAACCAAATTTTTTATTTATGTTTTTTGTTTATTTATTTGGCAGACGCTTTTATCCAAAGCAACTTACAATTTATAACCTATAGGGCATGTTGTGATCTGTGGGGGAAACCGGAGTACCCGGAGGAAACCCACGCATGCATGGGGAGAACACGCAACTCCACGCAGAAAGGCCGCAGCCGAGTTTCGAACCTGCAACCTTCGTGCTGCGAGGCAACAGTGCTAACAACTGTGCCACCATGCAGCCATGCATGTGTGCGTTAGTAAGTGAAGTTTAAAAAAAATGTTATTTTTCCAGAGTTAAACTCATTATCAAGTAGGGTTGGGCGATGGGACGAAGGAATCGACCATCAGCGATGGGCTGAGCCGTTACGGTTGTTTTTTACAGGAGGCGATTTATTTATTTATTTATTTATTTTTGCCCGTGAGTTAGTTTGCGATAGACACACTTTTTTAACGTTAACCACAGAGAACATCGTGGAGGTAACTATCAAGAAAAGATCTCCATCAGTGCATCTGAGCCGTTTCTCACCTCCTCCGCCTCACGCTGCTGACAGTGCGCATGCAAGCGGTGCACTGAGGAGGAGCTCAGGGAGCTTCTGTGACGCAATTGACGTCTTGCACAGCACCACGATGTTAAGTGGAAAGTGGAAACCCTTCTATCTTTCAGAGTCTGGAGGACTTCTGGTTATTTCATTTGGAGAAACGTTTCCTGATTTAAAACTTTGGCCTAAGTATTGCAGTGTTTCCCCTAGGAATTTTTCCAGCTGTGTGTGTGTGTGGGCGGGTGTGTGTGTGTGTGGGGGGGGCTCTTTTGAGAAATTATGACAAGTCTCTAAATAAAGTTACATTTTCCAGTGCAGATTGGAGACAACCCATAGAAGCACTGATTTGATCTCATTTCATAGAAAAATAGAACAGGTTAGATGCACCTAATAAATAAAATGACTAACAAACTCAGGAATCTTTCTTTGCTTCACTGTTCTGGTGCTGAGAATATCACTAATGCGGATCGAAGGAGATACACAGATGAATGCACCTCTTATTTATTATTTGGAGACTACATTTACTGCAGCTGGCAGAGGCAGAGATTTTTTCTATTGATACACGGAGTTTACAGAATCATTTTAAATTTTAATAGGGGAAGACTGCAGGAGGGAGCAGTAAAATACAGGGGGTCCCCAGCAAAAACAAGAAACTTTACGAGTCTGATGAAACCCGCTGGTTTTCCACCAGGCAGTCACGGGGCAGCTCCAACGACCCAGTGGCTGTGCTGGGTCAATGTTATCGAGCTCAGTCCGGCTCGGCCGTGAACGAGCCGAGGCGACGTCGTGCTCTGCTTAAGAAGAAGTGTTATTTTCCCGCTTCAGAAGAAGCGTCCAACGTGTTTTTACACTTTCTCCAAGACATGTCACGTCGCTAAGTTGTTAGCGCCGTGCGCTAACGCGTCAATAGTGCAGCGTAGCCTGCTGGAGGTTTTAAGGGTTCAGATGAAAACACCCGACCTCTCAGGCTGCGCTCACATCGATCTTAAGTTGTCGCTGTTGCGCTCACGCCGTAATACATTATTAGATGCGGTTAAAATCAGACACGAAAAAAGAAATACATTTTACATGAAGAGAACCTGGCCTAATAAGCACTGGAGGAAACCCTGTCAAGATCATCAACACTCATTTATCTTAATGCTATTGAAACATGTAAACCCAAAAGCATTATATCCACTGCTACCTTTCTAATTTTAAACTCAGTAACTTATGCTGTAACTTCACCTTGCCCTGCCTGCTCCTTGCTGCCCGCCGGCTGTGATCACAAGCGACAACAAAGTAGTTCCCGCTGCTTCTTCGGGAAACAGCGCAAAAAAAAAACAAAAAAAACTTGGGATCTTGTAGGCGTGGCGGTGGGATTTCAGCCATGGCGGGCCGCCACGGCTACGCCTATGTAAGGGAAACCCTGTATTGCTCGTCGTTATTCGGCACCTGCTTCGAGTGTGTCAGTGGAGCACGGATCCATCCAGAACAACATTTAAACATCCAAGAGTCTGTCTGAGGCATAAGACCACTGGACTTAGTCCAGAACCTCATAACCTCTTCAGCAAGCTCCCTAGAGACATTTGATTATGCACAAGCTGCATGTGACCAGTTCAGATTTAAGCGGCGCAGAAGGAATGTGCGTTCGGGCCGCAGCAGGTGAAATGTTCCAACTTTAAGTGAAATCGTTTTATTGAATTATGTTACTGGAGCACTCCTTTCAGCTTGTTTGGACTAAATATTAATTAAAATAAATGGAAATTAAACGAATGATTATTCATTACAGGGTTTTTCCTGGCTCAAATTGAGGCAGAGGTGGTACCAACCTGACCATGCGCCAGCACATGCATACACTGTGCATTCAACTGCGTCACTTTTTTAAAGGCAAAATATTTTTTTGTTAAGTGTTCTTATCTAAGCTTCTGTTGATTAGTTGAATATTCCATTTGCCAACGTTTCAAGTGAAACAAAACTGGTTTGCTGCTAAAAAAAAAATTAAATAAAACAACTAAATTATCAGGCTGAAATAACAGACTCTTATTATAAAAAGCTCAATAATATGCATCAGATTGGTGTTTAGTTCTCTTTTTCCATCTGATATTAATAGTTAAAATATTTTTGAATATTTGACCTACATTTCAGTGCCATTTTAGGTTTGTATTAATGACACTCATCTTGGTCAAAATAACACATACATATATCCATTAAAATATAATGCAATTCATTAACATGCATTTGTATTGGAAATGGTAATAACATTTAATTTCTGCTTCTAATAATGTAATGGTGGCATGTCTATTATGTACAGGTTGGAAATAATCCAGTTTAAATTATGTTCAAAGATAGAAGAGTTTGTGAATTATAAACTACAACGGCTTGCCGTACTTCCTGCTCCTGTGTGCAGCGGTTCTGATCCGTAGCGTTGCAGGATGTAGAATAAACAGGATGGTGGGGACTTTTCATCTGCTTGTAGAGTTTAGTCTTTCTTTTTTTTTTAATATATTTTTCATTATTTTATTTTTACATCAATAACAAACATAAACAACAACATAAACTCTTGGCTCCCTTTCCTCGCATATATACAAGTTCAGATTCAGGTGTCAGTTCGCGTAACGGTGTCCCAACACCAAAGCTCTAGCAAAGAATGCAGAGACATCCAGTCCAACGTACAGTAGAAAACGTTTCCACGTCCTGGCGAAGGTTTCATCCCTGCAGTGCAGTCGACATGTTAGACAGTCAAGAGAGGCATAACTGAGCACAACCACCTGCCACTGTGTTTTGGAGGGGATCTTGTCCGCTATCCAGTTCAGGAGAAGTCACTTTCTGGCACAGGAAGTCAAAATGCTGTAGAGTCTCCTTTCATATTTACCACTGACAACCGGATCGACCACTCCCAACAACAGAAATAAGGGATTATTGTTTAAGTTCGCAAACAAAATTTTGTTCATTTCCCCTCCGATAATCTGCCAGAATTGCTTCACCTTAATACAGGACCAAAAACAGTGCACAAAAGTGCCAACCTCAGTTTTGCATTTCAGGCACTGTGAAGTTGCGGTGGGATTAAATTTCTGCCTTCGGTAGGGTGATGTATGAGCTCTGTGAACACTCATAAGTTGGGTCGCTTTAACCCTATTACATACACTTAAGGTTGTTACGTTTCTCAAAGCATTGTTCCAGTCATCTTCGGTAATGTTACAGTTGAGTTCCCTTTTCCACAGTTCCCTCAGGCAGGAAGTTTCCCTTGTTTTATAGCATTTAATGATATTATAAAACGTACAAATAGAAGTAACCGACCGGGCAGAAAACACCTGACGCTCAGTATCTGACACATCCTGGCACGCCAGAAGTGTAGTGTCCTTCCTGATAAAGTCTCTTTATTTGTAAGTATCGGGAAAGGTCCTTTTTTGAAATATTATATTTTTTCAGTCCGTTGGGTAAATGACATCAGGGTAGGTCCATCAAATAGATCTTGTAATTTGGATACTCCCTTATCACTCCGCCTTTCCAAAGTTTTCATCCCTAATCCCAAGTAGAAAATCTGGGTTTCCACATATTGGAGTAAAAACCGAGGTTGTTTGTGACCTACCCTCTAATTTTCTTATTATTCGCCACGCTGTAATTGTGGATAATGTAATCAGGTTGGTACAGACAGTTTTTGAGGGGTTTCCCCTTTTTAGAAAAAGCAGTGATTTTAAAGGACAGTTCGACATTGAACTTTCAATGTCCAACCAGAGTGACGTAGACTTATTGCATGTCCAGTCAGCCATAATGCGCAAATGTACACTGAGTTGGTAATTTTGAATGTCCAGGAGGTCACAGCCCCCCTCTGCTGACGAGCGACATTAAGTAGCTATT